TTCCAAAGTGATGATATCTCATTTCAACACTTTATCGACTAAGAACATTTTAGAATATATGTTAGCGACAAATCAGATCTCTTCATTACGATCATATCCGAAATGTCTGATAATCTAGTATCATTCTAAGGATTTTATCTGTATTAAAATACCAGATAAATCAGACCAAAATAGCATACTATCATTTTGAATAAGGATGTTATATTCATATAGGTCATGTTATAATATATAATTATTGCCTGCAAGGCACCTATATCTAACAAGTATGTCCTAATCTCATGTGACATAGACGAGTAGTGTCCTCCTTTGTGGTAATAGAAGTTATCAGACTCTCTGTTACTGTATTGCCCTTTAAATAATAAAGATTGTTTTCCCTGACACCTTTCATCACCACTATGGACCCTTTGGTGACCTTCAAAATTGCATTCTCTATGATCACCTTATAACCTGATGCCTCTAAAGTTCCAAGTGAAATGATATTCTTCGTCAATTATGGAACGAATCTCACTTTCTTCAACTCCCTAGTCACACTGTCACACATCCTAATTCGAATTGTTTCAATACCACCAATGGGACATACGTGATTATTTCCCATTAACACAACATCCCCCTCTCTCCAACATCCTCTCATCCTCAAAGTCTACGGTTTTAGTTAACGGCTCTCCCTGCTCTTTCTTCCAATGTCATTGTGGTTTTAAACAGGGAGATCCCCTCTCTCCTATGCTTTTTTTGTTGGTTGTTGATGTGCTCAACAAGATGATCTCTGCCAGTTTTCAGGCTGGTGACTTGTCTGATCTCAATCTCAAAGGTGAACTTAACTCTATCAGATCCCTTCAGTTTGTAGATGATACTTTCATCTTCTGCAAAGTTGAGCTCAAAGATATTCTTACTCTTAGATCTATTTTGCTCATGTTTGGTAGTATCTATGGTCTGAACGTCAATCCTTCTAAAACCACTCTATTTTACCTAGGCAAAATCCTCAGCCGAGGAGTCCATCTGGCTAACAGGCTCAATTGTTCAATTAGTTCTCTCCTTTTCATTTACCTTGGTCTCCCCCTTAAAAAAGGCTCTCTTCCCCTATGTTACATGTCTTTTTTTAAAACTCCTAAGTTGGCTCCTTAAGGCTATTGATAGTATTAGAATAAATTTTCTCTAGGGCTCCTACCAACAGTCCTCTAAATCTAAGAACTTGGTTAAATGGGGCATAGTCTGTAAAGCAAAGTTTGAAGGAGGGCTTGGTGTTATTAACTTGCAATCCTTCAATATTGCTCTGCTAAGATCCTTGACAGGGATACCTATATATTAGTAAAGTGTTTTTGTCTATCTACTCTGTTAATGGATCTAACCCTTTTACTTATCCTCCTAGAGTCTCGGCATCTAAAATGATTAAGAACTAAAACTCTATTCATGAGCCTTTTTTTTCAATTGGTTCGTTGGAAGCTTGGAGATGGAAAACTATGCAGATTTTGGTAGGATAAATGATCGGGGGACAACTCCCTGTGCAGTCTCTTCCCCAGTGTGCATCGGTTAGCTTTTGCTCAATCCTCGTCTACTTTCTCCCAAGGTCTCTGCATCAACAACTCTTGGAAGTGACACCCCATCATTAGAAGAGGCATATCCACTGAGGTGAGAAACTGTATCGGTGAGCTCTTCTTAAAGCTTGAGGCTTCCCTTACTCCTGATGCATCTATCGGAGATGGTATCCTATGGCCTTATCTTCCTTCAAGCAAGTTCTCAGTCAATTGCTTCTACAAAATTCTCAACTCATGTGGTACATCCTTCCATCTTCATAACTTCATCTGGAGATCCTCTATTCCTCTCAAGGTTAAGATTTTTTCTGGACTTTGAATTATCATAAACTAAATACCAAAGATGTTTTATCAAAGAAAGGTTGGACTAGAGACCCAGTATGCCCTATGTGTAGCTCAGAACATGAATCACATGATCATCTATTCAATTCTTGTTCCTTCACCAGATCCGTGTGGGCCCTCCTCTTACCTAATGTCCAGGTTGATAACTGGCCGCTGGGGATTGATCCCCTCATCTCAGCTCACAACGACCTATTTAACATCTCTAGTATTCATTCAATCTGGAAGGTACTCCTCCCTTGCTGCTGGTGGTGGATTTGGAATACCATAAACCAGCTCATCTTCAATCAGCACTTCATTCCAATTCATAATTTAGCTGCTAATGTTGTTCTATATACTCTGTTATGGACATGTTCCTCCAGTAGCAGAAAGGCCTCTCATATGCACAAAGCTGCCATAGAGCTTGGTTTTGCGAGGCTGGCAAATCTTAGTGCCATCGACGAAGTGGGGGGCAACCTATTGTCTTGAACTACCATGATATTGTGATACTCTTTTTTGTTTTTTTTTTTGAACATGTATTAGTAACTATATTATGTTGTCCCTCCTCTCTTTCTAGTTGTCTTTATTTCTTTTCTGGCCTATAGGGCATCTCATATTGGACGGGTGGAAGTGGGGTAGATATAGTCTGGTTGGTGATGATAAGGTTCGCTCCCAACCGACTATATCTTCCTATGTTCTGCATCTTCCAAGTTTTTGTACAGTTTGTGAATACTCTTTAGTTTTTGGTTTATATATACATGAACAGGGCTTTGCGTCTTTTTTTCTTCAAAAAAAATCTAGTGTAAGGGTTCTTTAACGGAAATTTGATGTAGTCAAAGAGTTTGTTGATGAGGCCGGTAGAGGAATCCAAGTTCAATTCCCATAAGTTTGAAACTCAAAAATAGTTTTTTCTTCTGAGTAAAACTTCACAAAAAACCCCTTACGTCTAAAACTTTCTTAACTTTTTCAGGTTCTCACAAAATCCCCATAAGTTTGGATCTTTTCTCAACATCCGCTGGAACCGGTTAGCCTTCATTTTTTTGGGTTTGGGTTAAGAGAATTTCACAAAACTATGACTTTTCCGTTTAATTTGTGGAAACCCAGAAGCAGGATGTTAAGTGGCATTCTTAAAAATCAGAGGAATAATCTGGAGATGAGTGAAGAGGCTTTTTACTTTTGGATCGATCTAGGTGATATATAATGAAGGATAAATCTCACATAATGAGTATCATTGGCTTTGGGATATGTTGCACAAAACTATCACAAACATTTGTATTATGAAAACTATCATAAATCTTTTCACTATGGCTTAACGATATTCAAGGTGAACCCTTAGATATTTCTCATGCATCATGCTTGGACAATTTTTCTTTAATAAAACCTTTTTCACTAAACTATCAAACTAAAAGGGTCTTTTTGGCAAATTGGGTAAAGTAGTTTTAGTTGAGATAAAAAATGAATCTATGGGCTTAGCCCTTGTTTGCCAAATGAAAAAGAGATGGGGCAGGGATAGTTCTTTTGAGGTCTACCTTTGCTCAATAACTAGAAACATAAATCAACTCTAATTTGGTTTATATAAGAGAACTAGTTCAAATATAGTCTAGTCTACGGATCACCCAAACTAAACTCAAGTTAGAACTAGTTCAATAAAGTCTAGTTTAGCAAAACCTAATTAAGCCAAGTAGAGCTACTTCAAAACTAGTCTGCGTTACTTTCAAACTGGTCAAACATACCCTAAACTTTCTAGCATCCTATTTTCCACAATATTGTAATAACATGCTCTGTATCCCAAGGAAATGCATACACTGCATAATTTGAATTCACTCAGAGCATCTCCAATGGTATACTCTATATTTAGAGGGTTTGAAGAGAATATTCTTCAAGATTCCTCAAATGTAGAGGGTTTGTAAAAGTTGTGCTCCAATGGTATACTCTATATTTATATGAATTAATCTATCATTAACAAACTAATGATGTAAATAAAATAATTAAAACTTATCATTTTTTGTACAAAAATTATACATTTAGAACCGTATTGCCGAAACATTTTAAATGAGATTAATATTGAATATTTTTAGAGTCGTTTTTAAATTAGTTTAATTTAATAGAATACAATTAAAATATTCGTTAATAAAATAAATACGTGAGGATCTATATAACCCGCCCCAAATGAACTACATTCAGAAATACAGAAATTACATTATATAAGTAAGATACAGTAACAACAATCTAAAATTTTGGTAGGTCATTTTCATAGCTACCGGTGCCGTACTAATACCCTGACGGACCCCAATATCCAGTTCCTCCTGAAACATGAGTTGAACTATCAAATTGAAAATCACCGCTATTTCTGCTAATGATTTGTTGTTTTTTCCTCTCAAAAAATGCATGTTCCCTTACATCAACAATCTTACTCAAATCAATTGATAATATTTCTCTATCCTCACGATCACGCTCAAGATGAAATTGCGCATGCTGTTGAGCCAATAGTTGATTGCGCTGTTCTAATTGTACAGCCCGTTGATCTAACTTTTTCTTATCATTTTCTAATTTCATCATCATTAGTTGTTGCATGGTTTCCCTTCCAAGCTCACGTTTTTCCTGCATTTCTTTGATATTCTTAAGAATATCAACATCACACTCAGATGGGGAGATGATCTTTCTCTTCACATTTTCCGTCTTTCTTCCAACGGGTCGACTAGTGGAGGATGAACATGAATAAGAACTAGATAAAGTTGATTCAACTCAACCTTCAAATGCTGACGAGATGGATGACAATGATGATAAAAGATTAAGACGATTCCTCGCTCGATATAGGAAAATCCAAGATCGGGAGGCTCTTTGAACTACAGAATGCACTCATTAAACATTTATGGTAAAGACATGGTAATGGAATGATGTAATTTTTTTAAGCTTGATGTATTTTAAATTCTCTGTACTTCAACATTTCATAATGATAAATTTGAAATTAATATTAAAAGTTTAAATATTAGGCTCATTTTGAAGGTTTCGGCAAGACAATTTCAATGATATAATTTTTATTTAAAATAGATGAGTAAATTTAAAATTATATTAAGTTAAATAATTAGTTTAATTATATTCAAGGATACAATTGGTATTTATGAAAAGTTATAATGAGATGAGAAGGCAAAATTGGAATTAAAATCTATGAATAGTATTATTGAGGGATCCCTCTATATTATCCCAAACCCTTAAAATATAGTTGGTTACTATAGCACCATCTTAATATAGAGGGTGCTACAGTTGCACCATTGGAGCCAATGGTACTCCATTTATAGAGGAATGGAGTACCATTGGAGTTGCTCTTAGTCAAATTCAATCAGAATTTTCACAATAAAATACAAAAAGAGCGCCCCCAGCCCTTGTCTACAATAAAATCGTTGCACGAAGGATAATGCTAGCTCCATCCGCCTAAGTAATCTCCCTTGTTTTTCTGAGAAAATTGTTGGCCTGCTTCCACAACAAATAGTCAGGAGAATCAAAGGGGTTCGAATTAACCGGACGATCCTCGATCCTGATGGCCCGGATGAGGACTGCCGTCGGCTGTGTTTTCTGCGCTACAATAGCAAGTCTTGACGGAGAGAAAACTGTACATGCGGATAGGGGCTTTACTCAAGGCCCTGAACATCCTTCCCATGTCCTTCTTCTGTGATTTGTCCTCTGAACCCTGTATCAAATCAAAATTTGATCAGGAATAATAATCTTATCAGAACAGCTCCTACAAGGGACAGCTTGATCATTTTAATTATAAAGAGATTTCCTTAAAATTCTTAATTTGTTATTCATCATCCCTGTGAATGGCTCGAAACACTATGTGCTCTCATGCAGGTGTTTTGATAAATTTTCATGGTAGAGTTCATAGGCATCTATTTAGGGATTCTGCCAGTGGCGTAGCCAGTCAAGGCTTGCCCTGGGCAAGAAAGCCAGGGCAAGAAAGTGGCCGAAGGCCACACCGATGCTGCAAACGGGTCTCCGCCTGCAACCTTCCCTCCTCCGCTTGCTCTCGGAGGCGCTGGCAGTGCCAGCATCGGTGTGGCCTTCGGCAATGCAACACTGCTCGCACTCCCTGCGTCGTCCAAAATCTCATCGTCGCCCCGTTAGGAGGCTGGTTGTACATTCCATCAAGCAGCATAATGTCGAATATACCGCCAAGAACAACTCTGTGAACATACTCGTAGACCATCTTTATTTTTCGCCCAGGGCAAAAATAATCCTGGCTACGCCACTAGATTCTGCACAAATTATCATAAATTTTGAAGAAAGTAAAAGCTCTCTAATGGCGTTAACAATGCAAAGAGCTAAAATGTCCAAAAAAAGATCATGTGATTGTCATGTGATAATTTTTGCTTAGGATAGTTAGTCATTATATTTTATTTTAAAAATATTGCGATAGTTTTCTCTAATAAAAATATTTTTTTGATGGAATAAAAAGATATTTTAGGATATTATTTTGTAAAAGTATTATTTTATGCTAGTTTTGTGAAACTAATCATATTTTCTGCATATTTACATGTTTTGAGAATTGAATTGATGAATATAATTATTGTACGTTGTTCGACTTAGTACCTCCCTTGAGATCAATGAATTGCCACTGTTCTCTTTTTCATGAGTTTGTACTCTTTCTTTCTCCTCTTTTTCTTGAGCAAGCTTCTCTTTCTCCTCTTTCACTTGAGCAAGCTTCTCTGCAGTAACATAAAATTTTATTTAAGTTATAGGTAATTTAGTTCTAGGAGCGTCATGTTAGAATATAAAAATATAATCATCAATTCTCATCATTACTTTAGAGTTGTGGTATAATGACTAGAGACTTTAAGATGGTATTAGAGACTTTAAGATGCATAGTGATTACAACGATGTACAATTAATGCTTCATTTGATGATAGAAAATCTAAATTCATAATTTCAAAAAAAAAAAATATCATTGTACCTTCTTTAATCTTTTGGATCACCTTGATCGAATCATCATCAGAATCCTTTGCAGCTAGCGGCGCCGTGCAATAAACTCGAAAACTTGGTGACCCAACCATTTCCTCCTCCTCACTGTCTTGTCTTCTAAACATCCTTCCTTTCATATTCTCTTTCTCTTTCTTCTTCTCTTCAACTACGATCACTATCTCTTCAACCGCTCTCCTCACGGAGTCATCATCGACCCCATCCTGATCATTTGAAGATAATAGCTCCGTCGTAGATACAATGCTAGCGTGTCTCACCCTACGTCTTTTCTTCATCTCCTCGAATTTCTCGCGAAACGGCAGGAGTTGGGTAGGCATCAGCTGGTTCTCTTGATCCGACTTCGATGTGCTGCTGCCCATCGAAGTGGATCAGAAGAAGAAAAAAAGAGGTCTGGAGGGGAAACAGATTTGAAATGTGGAAGAGTAGAGGATATAGGGTTAGGGTTTGATGAAAGCTAGGGACGTTAAAAAAAAAAATCTAAATCAAGAAAGTTCATTTTGTTAGCAACGATAATAACGATGAAGCTAGTGGTGGGTTATTTTGGGAATCTACGAGGCTAAATTTGAATGGAAACTAGTGGTTTAGTTAATATGGGTCCCACAAGATTAATGGACAGAAATATGCTTAGGGAGTGTTTGTTTTGTATCCCAAAATTTATGGATATGGATTTCACCATAGAATTTGAAATCCATAAATTTTTTAATTTCTTTTCACAGGCCCCTGTTTGGTATCTCTAAATTTTGTTTGTTTCAGTCAATATTTTGGCGACTCTCTGCGAATAGGAAAATTTTTAAAAAACATCCCCTTTTAAATGTAATAACAAAAACGATCGCGTCTAGAAAAATAATTTAGCAAAACCGACATTTTTCCTGAAATATGTCGGTTTTGCTGTAGTTTGGCTGTTGCGAAGTTGTACGGGACTTAGGTAGTTCCTCGCTACACTTTCGTTTTCTTCCTGACTCGCAAAAAAAGCCCAATTTTGCTCGTGACCATCTCCCCTTCTTTTCCCAAGCCTTTTGCCTCTCAAAAATGGAAACCACGAATTCTCGACAGAGCAGCAGCATCATCTCCCCCACTCTTTCCTCGACGCGCGACCCAACTCGTGGGCCCACACGCCGAGCGTGGAGGCCCTCCGCCGTCTCTCCGAACCTCGCCGCCGCCTTACCGCTCCCCCGATTCATATCCCCTTCACCGACGCCGTCATCTCCGTGGCCCGCGAGGTCGGGGCCACACCCGTTGCTGTTCTTTCTCCGCAAGAAGCCCATTTCTCAGAGGCGTTTTCTCGAAGAAATCAAAGGTGAGAAGAAGAGTGTGGGAAGCGCGGATAAAGCTCGAGTTGAAGGATTTTGGTGAAGGTTTTGAAGCTTGGGTTCGAGCGCGCTTGGTCTGGGTTTGGTGGGTACTTGTACAGTAGGTAAGGTGGGCCGCTGCGAGGGGGGTCTTGCGTCTGCGTGCACGGAGGAGTGTGGGCATGTCGGTGCAGTGCCGCGCGGTGGAATTTGGGTGTGAAAAGGTCGAGGAACGAAGAGACAGGAGCAACGAAGAAATGAATGAAATGCACGGGACTAGCAGTCCCGTGCACTTTCACAAAATTCTACCTCAATATCAAAACCGACCCTTTTCAACGAAAGGGTCGGATTGCTCATTATTTTTACATGGGGCCGGGGGGATCGTTTTTGCTATTTAATTTTAAAAGTAGGTGCTTTAAAAATTAGAATAGCAAAAACGACCCCTGTAAAAATAATGAGGCAAACCGACCCTTTTTGTTGTAAAGGGTCGGTTTTGTATGTGAGGTTAGAATTTGTGAAATGCACGGGACTGATAGTCCCGTGCCGTTCATTTCTTTTCTTCGTTTGCTTCTGTCTTCGTTCGCCTCGACCTTTTCACACCAAATTCCACCGCCGGCCGGCTGGGGGGCGCGGGACGGCCACCCGACGGTGCGCCACACTCCTTCGTCCACGCGACGCGAGACCCCCCCGACCAGGCGGAGCCCCACTTCCCACTGTACAGTGTACCCCAATACCAGGGCGACGATGCGCGTTCGAACCCAACTTCAAAACCCTTCACCAAATCCTTCAACTCGAGCTTATATCGGGTTCCCCTCTTCTCTTCTCTTGATTTCTTCGGAGAAAAACGCCTTCTGAGAAATGGCGCTTCTTGCGATGAGAACGCAACGGTAGGGCCCGAACCTCGTCGGGGCCCGGAGATGACGGCGTCGGTGAAGGGATTGAATTCGGTGGGGGAGCGGGTAAGGCGGCGGCGGTGGTTTTCGGAGAGGCGGCGTCGGAGGGCCTCCACCGTCAGCGTGTGGGCCCACGAGTTGGTTTCCGCATCGGAGGAAGAGGGGAGGAGGATGATGATGCTGCTGACTGTTCGAGAATTCAGTGGGGTTCATTTTGAGGAGGAAAAGGCTTGGGAAGAAGAAGGGAGATGGGTCACGAGCAAAATGGGGCTTTTTTTTGCCGACGTCAGATATTAAAACGGTGTACGGACTACTAGTCCCGTACAGCTCGGCAACAGCCAAACTTACAGCAAACACCATTTTCAGGGGAAAATGGTCGGTGTTTGATAATTAGTTTTTCTAACGGTCGTTTATTGCTTATTAAATTTTAAAAAAGGGCTTTTTAAAAATTTTCCTATTTTTGTTTGTTTCATCAATATTTTGGATTTGGAATACTATAATTTTGTAATTATTTTGTTTTGTTCATCAATATTTTTGGGATTTGGACATACTATAAATTATATATTATAATATTATATAATATTCTCTTTAAATAACATTATATCATTTTATAATATTATATAATATTTTGGGATTTGGGCTGAATGATACAGCCTGAAATTGACAGTGATTATGTCGGGTCCTCCGTATATATATTATATATTATATATATAATATTATATTATATTATATTATATTCATAGATATAATTTATATATATATTATAAATATATAATATATATTATATATTAGTATATATATAATATAATCTATATATATAATATATAAATAGTATATAAATAAATAAATAATATTATATATATTATATATATATATAATATACATATATTATTATATATATATATAATAGGTATATTTATATAATAATACTTATGTAATATATATTATGTTACTATAATGCTACAGTATTTATGCCCCAGCATTTACTACAGCCGATGAACAGTGATATATAATATATTAATATATATATATAATATAAAATATATGAGTGGTATTATATAACTATATATATATAATAGTATGGTATATATATATTTTATATGATATAAGTATTATTACTATATTATAAATAATATTATATATATATATGTATATATATAACATAATATATATATATTACTATATATATATATATATATAGTTATAATATTAGTATATATATATATATTTATAATTATATAGTATATATTATATATATATATATATATATATATATATGGCATGTGAATCTGCGGGGTGACTGTAGGTAGGCTGTCATCGAGATGCTGCGATCCTGGGGTTTATCAAAACCCCAGAGAGATCTGAGCGCCTTCGCTTGAAAATCGCATCCCCAAAATCGCCTACCTCTCTCATCTCTCCCGCCCAATCGCGCCATTCGACCTCGCGCTCTCCTCCTCTCCAGCGCCCGAAATCGCCGCGGGAGCTCGCCGCGCGATCAGCGTGCGCCGCCGGTCAAGATCGCGCTTCCGGTCGCCATCACCGACCTCCTGCCGGCTACCACGCCCGAAAGCGCCAGCGCCCAAAGCTTCGGTGCTGTGTTCTCGCGTCCGCCGATCCAGCGTCGCCGCCCGTCCCTTGCCTAGCATCACCCTCCCCTCCTCCTCTCAGCCCGAGATCACCGCAGCTGAGCGTCGCGCCGGGCTCATCGCCGTCTACTCGTCCTCGCCATCGACTCTTCCACCCCTCGTTATCAAGCAGCCTCCGACGGCATTCGAGCTTAGCCTCAGGTTCATCGCCGCCTCCAGAGATCGCACTCAAGCCTCGACGTCATCCTCGCCATCTCCCCCCGTCCCTCTCACCTCACGAGAATCGCGCAGCCTGCGCTTTGCCGTCCCCGCTCCAGTGGTTGCGCCCGGCTCATCGTAACTCGCGCGTGTCGAGCTCGCTCCACCGGACGGGTAAGCATCAGAGTCTAACATTAACCGCTCGCTTAGTTCTAACTAAAGTGCCATGTTAAGCTAGCTCTAAGATTAACGTGTTTAGCTTTTAACTGAATGCATGTTAATGCTACCGCGGATGCATGTTAGCTGCAATGGAGATTGATGTTAGTCTATTACGATGGCATTGTTAGTTCTATGTCGGCGTTCCGCTGTTTACGTCTAGTGGATTTCATGATCGGTTCTATCTTCCTTCATCGCTTCTCTTGGATCTTGGATCTATCTTGTTCTTTAATTTCAGCTCATACGATTACTTGCGTTTGCGAGCACTCATCTATTGGCTACGAGCGGATATTTAGAGCATTTTTGCCATGTATTGTTAAATTGGATATTAAACTTTAAATTTGGGTTTAAACTATCGTTTAGAAATTGTTTGTCGAATTGAAAGTCACTTGATGACGTTTTTTGCTAGCCGATTTTGAATCTGTATATGTGAATAATTTGAGCGTGTATAGACACTTCCACCAATTCTCTCACGTGAGGCACAATAGAAGAATAAAAGCCAGGACCATGATCTACTATCTACAACATGCTTCCCCCTCAGGTGATAATATCTTATTGTTTATAGTGTACTACTAACTAATGGACATATACCAAAATTAGTGTCTTTTAGCATGAGTTTTGTTTCTCTATTTTCTATAGGCATCGAGCATGAGGAGGAAATGGTATGGCTTATGGCGCGTTGAATATGGCTGAAGACTAATTTAAACAACGTTGATCCAGGTATAATCGCGGAACTGCGAGTTCTCTATCATGAGGTTAAGCTTGTATAATTTCCTACAATGCGATCACGCCAGACTTTAAGATTGGGTTGTTCGCAAGGGTCACCACAGCTTTGTCGCGAGAAGAAAGATGCCCAATCCTATCTAGGAAATATTTGTATGCTGATAAAGAAGGCTTTAACATCTTTAAAAGATAAAGAGGTAAGATGGGCGGATTGTAATTCGAAAGTTCGATACAAGATGTGGATGCCGCAACGCGGAAGGCATGCGTTATGGACTTGATGAAGCAGCTTGAAAACATGGGTGGTCGACAAGTTAAACAGTAAGCATACATGGTCATCATTAACACCCAACTCGCGGTAAGAAGCACTACTCACATGGACACCTTCATCGAGTCAATCGACAAAAAGGTGTGATTAACTACTCTATAACAATCCAAGGCGGTTTACGGGCCTGGCTTGCGCACTTTTGTATAAAGGCTTAGCGCTTGTCATCGCCGGCACATGAAAGGCGTCTCGCCACCTTCAGACCAACACGACATGCGCTATAG